CTTATGTTACACATAGTTTCCGTTCCCTTTCCAACACATAATGCATATGTTTTCAATTTGCTATTTTATCAGCTTGCTACATTATTCCAACAGACACTTTATTTTGCACCAGACAATCATCTTTATTGAGTATTTGTCTTCATTTCAATTGCAGTCTCTTTTGTGACAAATGAGAGGAAGGGGATTACAAGGGCACTGAAGTTGACACCAATTTACCATCAAATACAGTCCTTTTAAACAGTATTTTAAGGTAAACTGTAGTGTCACTACAGTGTCTTTGTAACCCGCTATCTACAGTGACTACAGTGAGAACTTGTCAGTTGTTTTCAATATTTGTATTTATGATTTATTAATTATTTCCAACAATTTGGTTGAGTATATTGTATATTTTAATACTGTATTCTCGTATAATGGAATCAAATTTATTTTTAAAAATAATTTTCAAATATTCACAAGATAATATCTTATGTTCAGTACTTTAGTAATATAGAGTATCTTATCTTACTGTAAGTAATTTTAGTAAGTAATTTTACCTTAATACAATTAAAGTTAGTATACAATTAAAAATGATGTGTCTATTAGAGCTGGAATTAGAGATCCTAATCATCTTAACATTTAAAACACTAATAACTTGCAAAAAAAGATTAAAAACATTACTTTCTTTACCAGCAATTATGAGACTTAATCTTTAAGGCCTAATACAAGAACAGTAGTACCGTATACCTGTATACTGTAAAACTTAAGTTAGAAACAAGACATCCCTCACGAGTTAGTGTGTCCAGGATGTCAACATTACAATGTGACACTACAATGTATACAGTAACTTACTTCAGTATCAATCTATCCTCATTTTGTGTCTCAGTACTAATGTTTGTCTTTTTAAAGTTTAAAAATAACATTTAATTTGTAAATACATTGGGTTCTTGACAAGACTTTAATAAACACAATCAAATTAAAATATTAAATCTAATTTATTATGTGTAAAATATGGTATAAATGAGGACTGAAATTACTAAAATATTTTATGCAAAAAATGGATCCTTTGTACACAATTTGGTATATCTTACTTTAAGTTTGAAATTGAGACTTAGTTTGAAAATTAAAACTACTTTAAGCTTACTAGTAATTCTAATCAAATATTAAGCAGATTATATAAGTATATAAATATTTTTAAAATTCAATCTCTACTACTATTATGTTTTCAAATTTCAATGTAAGATTGTTCCAGACTCTGGAATCCAGACTTATAAGAAAAGTGTGTTAATTTTCCAAGAAAGCACCTGTATGTTCAAATATGAGGGTATAAGTTAATACTGAATTTAATAAAATTGCTATTGTAAAGGAAAGATGGTTAATTATAACAGTATGTTTAATCAATCTGATATATGACATACATACTACCAATGGTTACTATTACTTAATTAACCATGTACTGTACAAACGTTTGCTAATCAACTCATCTCATAAGGACAGAATGTACCGGATGCTGCTTGATTGTATCACTAACTATATTTCGCAGTTTAAATCACGGGTAATATTACGTTTACGGGTATCATACAGTACATATCGGTTCATATTTGTACTGAACTGTACTAGTACAAGTGTATGAATAGATACGGTAGATTGTATTTATTAAATTGATTTGTCAACGTTTATATGAATGAAATAAATTATGGTAATAAGAAATTTATTAAATACTTCATATTTAGCAATAAAATATACATTTAATTACATTTTAATCCAAAAAGAGAGCTGAAGAGTTGAGTGATAGCCTGGTCAGTGTACGTGCAATTATCTACAGGTGCCATGAAGTTGACTAACTTCGAGTGTACATCATATCTAATTTTCCTGCCTTTACTCGCTTTTGTGTCGACTTTGCGTTTAATTTTATTCCTCAACTTTTGTATTTCCAACCATTTCTTGCTTAAGACTATTGGATCGTTGGATTCATTGGCAGTCTTTGATTCAATTAATTCTCTGAGCAATTGATGGTAGAAGTCGTCGTCATCGAAGATCTCTGCATCCAATTCTTTGTCATCACTTTTGCCAATACTTTCTTCTAATTGTTTCTCATCAATGGTTGTGTCATTGATATCAGCCTTTCCTATAATATTATATAAAGACCTTTTGGTTTGTGTTCTTCGTATAAGTCTTTCCATATCAGAGAGAATGCGATCGATTTGTTGTGTCGAAGACTGTTCCAAACCAACCAAAGATTTGTTTTTCAAGGCATTCGCTGTAAATCTTGTCTTTTCATACCATTTGTCTAACAATTGATTCCTAATTCCATTCAAATTTCGATGTCTTTTGCTTAAGAACTCATTGTAATCACAATCAGAGAGCTTTCGTTTGTTCCTAAACTCCAATGAATTGTCCAGAAATTCATTCTTATTATCAACAATTGATTCCTAATTCCATTCAAATTTCGATGTCTTTTGCTTAAGAACTCATTGTAATCACAATCAGAGAGCTTTCGTTTGTTCCTAAACTCCAATGAATTGTCCAGAAATTCATTCTTATTATCAGTTCTTATGTTTTCATCCGTCGAATGGTCTTCAGTTGACTGAGAAGAATGTCTTTCATTGACAAGAATATTATTTTGTGAGTTAAGACTCAAATCGATGTCAATCAACACTTTTAGCAATTTCTTCACTGCTTTCGATGACTCTCTCAATGAATGGTTCACTTCTGTCTCTTGTGAACCTTCTTTCAAAAGACTTAAACAATCAAATTGTGGACATCTGTTGCTATCCATCAGTATTTTCTGCACATTAATACGACATTCGAGCAAATTATCCCAAATTAATAACTGCTTCTTCAGAGCGATTCCCTTCGATATATCTTCATTGACATCAATGTTTGAGAATTGATTTATGTATCCATCGCTGCCTTCGTCCACATCTTTTCCATCACTCAACTCTTCAACTGCTTCTTCGTTTTCGTTTTCACTCTCATTGCTATCAGAACTGGAGTTTAAGTCTTCAGAGGAGGCGGTCGGCGCTCTTATGTTATCGCTATAGAACTCCCTGTCCTCGAGTTCGGTGTCAACGGAATCACTTCCACTCTTGTCTTCATGACTGCCATCGCTGTGTTCATCCTCTGACTGCCAATCTGTGAGCACATCCCGAGTGACTTTGATTCCCGAATACCTATCAAATGATGGCAACTATGATGACAACGATGTGCACAACATATGACTATCAAAACCAACCTCTCATTCAAAGACCACAAATGACTTCTTGCTTTGCGGGTTAAGTCACTTGCGCTCAATGGCTGATCACCGCCGCTGTTGTCTGTTGTGGTGGTGTTGAGCACATTGAGGGCAGAGGTCTCGGTGTGGATGTCATCCTCGGGATCTGTCAGAGATGGCAACGGATTGATGAGTGAAGCGATTTGATCGGACAGTGAAGTCATGTTTGGTAAGCAATCTTCACTGATCAGTGATCACCACAAGTTGTCCACAACTGAACTCACAGTCAATGCACAACACGTGTGTCAGTGCAGTGCTGCCACCCATTCACAGCCACACGAGTCTAATAGTAGAGTAGTGTCCAAGTGATCAGTGAATTGAAGTATTGGTGTAATAATTGGTGTCACGAATGGTCACTAAAGTGAGTGTTGTATGCAATCGTTATTCAAATCTATTCTCATTACAAATACTTCAATCATTACTATTAATATGCTTAGTATTAGAGTACAGTTGTTGGCATTTCTATTTATTCATTTATCATACCATACAGTATAGAAACACAATAGTATTCATACAGTAAATATAATAGACAATAAAAATGAATGGTGAGCTGACCTAGGTTACTTGTGTTAAGGCGACTGGGCATAGTATAGGTTCCATAAGAGTAAAAGTTTTATTAATTTCATAAAAGTTGGTAACGAATGGTTAAACACAAGACGCTGTTTGTGATGCATAGCTACACCATTAGGTGGTCTATTAGTTGATCCCAATTCTGGTGAATGGCAGGTGTGGTAAGGGATGCGGACATGCATTGAATCACTGCTAAACAACTTGAGTTAATCTCAAGTATAAGCCATTCCGACAGTACAGGCAATGAATCTATGATAGCACTCATTGTATTGCATGTATTGTTGTCACAGCACTCATACCTCTCTTAATCCAATTGCTTTCATCCGGACTTAACATTTGTTTTGATAGCCTTTTGTAAGGTCTGTCCTTTCAAACACCCATTCTTACGGCTATTGATTGCCAATCAATACTTGTAATTGACTGCTCTCTCTCTCTCTCTCTCTCTCCTCGGTTGTAGTGCAACAGCACTGGTAGGTCTGACTTGAACTGAATTCTTAGAAATAGTATTTAACTGAATTAATTTGATGCATTGAAATTGCTTTTTCTACTTGAATGGTATAATATGTACAAATGAAGTATACTTTTGATTGATTTAATAACAATTTGTGTTCATTTCTAAATACAAGTCGTGTGGGTGTAGGTGCCAAACAATTACATAAAATATATGATAACTCAAGTTAATAAATTGATATTTTAAAATTCTAACTTATATTATAATTAATGCATTGCATGTATTGTTTTATGTTATTAAGTATTACAAGAATATCATAATGGACACAATAATCTTTGAGAATAATCTCATTTTTTGTCACTCGACCAAACAAACCCTGCTTACTGTTTATTAATATAAAAAGCACTCATTAATTGTAGCGTTGAGTGAGTTTAGCATTAATCCTATTGTTGTATTGAATTGCAATGAATTGAATGCAATGGTTGGGCATCAATGGTGTCATCAGAGAAGACCAGACGAGTAAAAAACGAAGCGCTGGAGAAGATATATATATACAGTATATATTGGTTTGGGGGCAGATCTGGTCGTATATGAAGGGAAAGCCTATAATTCTGTGTTCACTGCAATATTCACTGTCGACTGACTCTTTCGGAACAATTGTCTTTTGCAACTGTAATTGCATTCCTTTCGTGTGATTCCTGGACTCAAACTTTACTTCATATCTAACAGAGTTATGTTGAGAGCATTTTCTCCTAATAATCGCTGTATTGAAAGACAACACTCATTACTCTTTAGTCCTTAAGCTATGAGTAGGAAGAGATATACATTTGTATAGTATTTCCATAATATAAAGACCACTATTTTATGGTTTGCTTATAAAACTAATGAATTCGAGTTTAAGAACTTTTCAAATCCATTATACTGTATACTGGTATAGTAAAATACACTTGGTAATACAGTTTATAGGAGACCAATATTCATACTTGTATTTAAACATAGTACAGTACAATATTCTACTAATATTATGCTAACAGTAAATAGAAACATTTACACAGGCAATTGTAAATGTGTCGCAAGCAGTATTGCCATTGTAATTCAATTAACTATTTAATAAGACATATATGTAATATAGAGTATCATTTACTATAAGGCATTTATAACATACTTTGCAATTTTGTATAACTTTCTAGTTAGTAATCTCTAAAAATTTAATAGTACAGTGTGCAATACAAAGTGAGAATGGTACTTCAAAGCGGCTCAACTCTACAATATAGGATTAACAATAGGACTCATTCATCGAATTCATTGAATACTGTATTTTCAATTCAATAAACAAAGGAATTTTATCGTTTGTTTGGTTCCCAATTAAAATTGACATTTGAGAACTCACACAGACTTAACACTAGAACTTACCAATAAAGTTGTATATTTTTAACATTTATAATTTACATGATATTGTAGAAATTAGTATTAATATTCAAAAGCAATGAGTATTTTTAGAAGGGGTTTCCACTTATTTAAAAATGATAAGTCATTTGCAATTGAATATAATCAGAATTAGAGGACTTAACCCCTGAAGCTTAAGCAGACAAATTTGTCCATTTAATTATGAATACACAGATATTTTTAATATGATTGTTATTTTTTAAAATGGTATTTTATTTATCAAATGATTGAGACTTTTAATTAAATACAAATTAAAGATTATGTCTAAAATACAATTAGATAATATACAGCACGTGAAGTGATATAATAATCAATGAATTATATCGAGTGAATTGGATGAATGACAAAGGTCAGAATTTGCTTCTATGGGTGAGCTGTCAATATGCAAGGGCTCATCACAAGGGATGCACTGTTTTTTGATGAGCGCCTGTTCCTTCTCCTGGTGCTGTTTCCGCCATTTGATTCGCCGGTTCTGTAAGCAAACATTCATGGGTTATCACTAACTTTGTATTCAAATGATCACTATTTGTGGTATACCTGGAACCAGACCTTCACTTGTGCTTCGGACAAGTTGAGAGTGGAGGCGAGGTATAGCCTTTCGGGGCCCACCATATACTGTTGCTTTTCAAACTGTGTCTCGAGTTTGTCGAGTTGTTCCGGAGTGAAGATGGTTCGCACTCTCTTCGACTTGCCATGAGATCCACACTCCTCTCCAATCACTCTCTCCTCCAATTTGACTCTTGAGTTGAGGTCGCAATCAATGCTTCGTTTATTATTCACTTTCATATGAATTGATAAACTTCTGCCTTTCCTCTCATTATTGGGCAATGAATTCAATTCTATATAATGAGTAGAAAATGAATTAATTGTTGAATATATTCAGGCTTTGATGGAAGCAATGGTATAATTGATTGCAAAGCGAGCGTAACATAAATGCCAACTCTGGCCCCCATTTAAAGCAAACTGAATGTAGAGTTGAATTGTAAAGCATTTAATAAAATGACAAAAAGTGGATCGAATTGAAGGGCTGTTAACAAAGGAGAGGGAGAAAGCAATCATTTGTTTTGACAAGTGATGTCTTATAAGAATGCAGGGGTAGAGGGGTCTGTAGTGTTTGTAAATCATTGTAATAAAAGTCATGTCATATGCGATACAGTATTGGGAATGATATTGCATTCATGACTTAATTGCATTCCAATCCCCGTAAACGCAATAATACTTTGCATTGATTTCTTGTCGAGGGTTTCTATTTGTTATGTCCTATACTTGTATCTCAAAAATAGCTCAAAACCTCTCCACAACTAATTGCAAGTTTAATAGACGTGTAATAAAATTCAACAGTAAAAAGTCACACAATTTATATGCAATTATTGATAAATATGCTCTCTCTCTCTCTCTCTTTCTCTCTCTCTCTCTCTCTCTCTCTCTCATGTAAAGCACATTCATTGCTTTGTTCCGGGAATTGGTTGCAATTTTCTAAGTTTAGCTCAATTGAAAAAACGAAACCGAAAGCATCAATAAAAGTATTAAAAAAGTAAACCAATAGTCCAGTAGTGTTGCAGTCCTGGGGTCCAGTGAGACAACAATAGTATACACTATACTATCTGTTGGATGCAATTGTCTGACTGGCACTGGAGGACTGGGGACTGGGGGACTGGGTTACTATATACAGGTTTGATAAAAATGATTGTACCGTCAATAAAGAGGCTCACAATTTAGTGATTGCTTTAAGTGAGGCTCTTCTGCTTTTTTTAGCTCAAGGAGAAGTGCTTAAGACAGAGAGTGATGGGTCACTACCTGTCCTCTTTGCAAATGCTGCTAATTAGTTGATTGCATTTAATTGTAATATTATATCTAATAAGCAGTTTAATTGAATGAATGAATGCATACCTTTGGCTGTGGAGTCGGGAGAGACGGATGCGATGCTCTTTGCTTTTGAAAGATTGCTTGCTTTGGCATACATATCATGAGTGCTGTATTCGGGCCTATATTTAATGCCATTCAAGTGGTATTGATTGCAATCTTGAGCCGAGAGGTAGTTATTATTTTGACGATTATTGATGCCTAATATGGCTTCGATAGAGAACGAAGATTTCGATGAATCACTTTCTGGTAATAGCTTTTTGTTGCCACCAATGGATGAGTTGTAGTACTCATTGCTAGAGATGCCAAGTGATGGGAGGTGTGATCTGGTGGTTATGGTACTGTTGTGACCACTGGTCATCATATTCTCGTAGAATGTATTCAAATTGATGAGAGCAGTGGCCGGACTGGTACTGCTTTCTGAGTGATAACCAGTGATGCGATTAATCTGTAAAGGATTGTGCTTGTTGTGATCGCTTACATCCAGGTATAATGGATATGATAGGCGATAGGACATCATGTTCTGCACGAGTTGTCTTTGAATCACTTGTATGACGAGTAGAGCACTGGATACTGGATACTGGATGCGAGTGCACACGACTTACACACTTGTCTGATGCCAACTGACGACTTGACGGCCACTTCTTGATAGGCAACGACTAGAGCACCACAAAAGAGGAACCGCTTTGGAGCTGCACTTGTCTCCAGTTGTCAGCTCCGGCAGCCTTACAGCCCTCACAGCCTTATGACTCCCCGCTGACTGCTATTGAGCAGCGAATTAGGCGCTGACGTCTCAGCACAACATTTCATTATATGGTCCGCAACTTAAAAGCCTTGACATGAAGACACTCCTACTGGAGGACTCGAGGAACTGGAGAAACACGACTTAACATTTTTTGCCTCTTCTTCCTATTATAAACGAATATAACGGATAATACCGTATATCAGGATCATTTCATTATTGGCTCTCATCTAAAATCAATATCTAACATATCATATCATATCATATTCTTTGAGAAATCAATTATTCTATTGCAGCGTACAACAGGCAATAGTAGTGTGCAGGGTACAGTAGTATAACATTTGCTCTCATGTGAAATATGTTATGAAAAATCCAAACTAAACGACAAAATGACTTTTTCATAATTGATGTGTTTTGGAGCGAATAAATACTCGGCAACTGAACTAAACTGATATATAAATGATATTAAGTTTCAGACAATAGCTCCCAATCTCGAGTGACATACAATATATAGATATCGTATAGAATTAGAAACGCGTTATTGAGAGCTAAATGTTAGCCCAGAGAGAGAGAGAGAGAGAGAGAGAGAGAGAGAGAGAGAGAGCCTGTGCTGTGAATGCAATGATATTTTATGAGTGAATTCCAATAAGTTAGCGGTGTTTGTGGGACAGGTATTTACAACACTTTCAATAATTATGACCGTTTTTGTCATTTGCCTGCAATAATTGGGCGCTTCGTTTCCCACGCCTTAATTGTCAACTGATTAGAACTGAGACATAGTTTTGAGACCAGTTATGACTCTCTGGGTCTCTGGTAGGACTCAAGGGTGCTATAAAAGGTTTGGTGCCCTCAGCTGATGACCAGTGCCTAGATGATGACCCATATTAACCAACATCAATAAACATCACCATTTGAAGCAACGTTTTTGTATGTGTTTTCAAACTATTCAAACTAAGTGTACAAATAAAACACCGACAGAGCCCACACACGCTAACATACCGTACAGTACCACAGCTTACCCTAACTAACCATAGCTCACCTCTATTTCTCAAAATAAAGAAACCTTTTGTCTAATTATAGCCAAAGCACTATAGGCTTCAAAAGTGATGTGCTTTCAATGCGATTACTTTAGTATTATCGTTGAATACTTTCTAATCTCTATCACAGTCTAACAATACAAATGAGACAAATTTCAAATTTTATATATAATTTATACATTTCTATAGGACACAGATTAGGAGATGGAGAACACCTTTGAAATCTTGTGTCCAAACGAATCAAAACCCTTATTAACATTAGAAGAACTGCTGGACTGGGATTGCGGTCAAACTGGCCGTACAGACCACTTGAGGCCATATGTTTTATATGGATTGCAAACTCATAAAACACATGCAAATAGAAAATCTAAAACATTGCTCTGTCATGACATGAAAGGCGGTTATATAGATGACAGGTATGTCATTAAGTAATCCTTTTTCTATCGATTCTGACTAAACATTATTGCTTTAGATTCAACAGCGGCTCCACTAATGAATCCGCCTATAGGTCTGCCGCTTAACTCTCTTTGTATTAATACTTTTACTACTAATTGACTCCAACTTTAAATTTAGATTTTTCCTGTGGTCAGCAATTGATATATTCGTGTATTTCAGGTAAGCATACAGTTTAGAGTCATTCATAGCATTGCTAACTACAGTAGCATTAATGGATACAATGTATATCATATGTATATTATTATATTTAACATTCTTTTAGTCATCATTTTATTACAATACCACCGATTGCTTGGATTAATGCCAGTCATAAGAATGGAGTAAGAATTTGGTTTGCATTTCATTTGGTTTGCATTCACTTACTATAACTTTCGTATAAATGCAAAAGGTTTCCATATTAGGGACAGTTATAGTGGAAGGGTGGACTCAATCAAAGCTCATATGTTCACAAATATTGAGCAACAGAGAGGTGATTCAGAAAATGGTTAGAAAACTGGTGGACATCGCCAAGTATTATCACTTTGAGGGTTGGCTTATCAACATTGAATGCCAAGTGGAGCGCAATTGCATTGAAAATCTCATCTATTTCGTTGAATTACTGACACAATCAATGCACTCTTACGACCCCAAAAGGTTTCTATCTTTAATACTCCATTCAATCCATTCCTTCACTTTTATTATCAAATCTATTAACTGCTGCCGTATTGCATAACTTGTATTCAAAATAGTCTTTTAAATTATAGTCCCATTAGGGAGTGAATGGGAATCCTTTGAGTTGTGCGCAAGCGATGAGATGCCAATGAATTATAAGTTATAATACCAGACAATAAGTCTTTTAACTATTTCTGTAATCATAGAATCAGCAAATAAAAGTTGTTTTAACATGTATTTTGTATATCCGAGTTAAAATTTGTCAAGCAACTTTTGTTTACTGATTCTATTGTAAGGGAAACTGCTAACAAAATTAGCGGTATTTATAAATAATAATAAGTTATTACTGTTATAGTAATTTGAATGGAATATGAATGCATGATAGTAAGAATAACAATGTTGTGTATTTTAAAGTTGATCCAATGACCACAAGAACATCAGATTTATGTCATAAGTTAACATTTTGGCGATTGTGAACGACAGTTAGACAGTTTCTATCCATACTTTCCTAATCTAACCTAATTGAGTTCAATCCTAAGTGCATGGTTTTAACCAGTTGTGAATATGTATAAGTGACATCCTGGGTTAAACTTTTCTAATTTTAGTTATAAATAAAATAGCTTTTACTAATATGTGTTGTGCATTGTAGATATTTACATAAATTTGATGATATTATAGTATACTGTAATACATAAATCCTTACAACCATTTAAACGGGAATGAGAGTGAAAATTTTGTAAATTGCAAAGACTAGTCAAACACTTGCCTAACAATTACTTATTTTAATCACTTCTCTTAACACGAGTTATTCATTTAATTTACCATTCAATTCATTGTTGCTGTACATATATTACAATAGTTTCCAACTCTTAAAAGATTTAATTAAATTTAGAGTAAATATCTTCAGCTATATTTGACAACTGTTTTAAAAATAGTAACAATTTTATGCGCTTACTATTGAACATGATTAATTCAAACTTGCATTTATACAGTTTTCATCATACAAAATCAAGTATTATGCTTATATTCTAACCATGATTATTTTCTTTCTTTTGAAGTGTTTACTGCTAATGAATCATGAATTAATCTCATAAAGTAATCATTAAATATTAAAATTAAAGCTGAAAAGAGTTATGAATGAATCGTCAAACAGTCTATCATTTGAATCAGAATCAAATGTTGTAATGCATTGGCCTTTACTTTGAAATCATTTCATACATATAACAAACTATTTTCATATAAACTTTCAATACAATTATTGCAACCAATTTGACGGAATTGTAGTGATTGTCAGTCACTGATTGATAACGATTCTGTTGTCATTTAAATGTGTGCACACATTATTGTGCCTGATCATCAGGTTTTAAATGCGAACAAACGTGCAACTTGTAAGAGAACAGTAGTAGAAATGATCCCTGTTTAAAAAAGTGCTTATATGAGCAATGCATTAGCGAAATGTCTTTATAGTAGAAAAGCTAAATTCTGTGTCTATATGTCTACTGTACTCTGTATATGTCGGTCCCTTTATGAGTGCTCTCAGTGTCGGTCTTTTTAATTGTCGGTCCGTCAGTCTCTGTCTCGCAATCAGTGCTTCTACTGTAGTGTATGAGCAGAAAGTGGTATATATGGGCACTATATGGCTATATGGCTATTCCTATATCACATTTACAGCTTTGCTATTATTGTTATTATTAGGGACAGGGCAGGGGTTATAACTTATAAGAATACAGTAGATTGAGTTGAGCCCTGGCCAAGGAATGTGCAGCTATTTTATCAGAATTGGTGCCATAAAATATAATTATGACATATGATTATGATTTAGACAACCAGAGCTTAATAGTGTCATCAATATAGCCATTTGGACACTACATGAAACACCTTTCATCGCAAATTCATTTCCAAATCTAGTACTTTAATTCATTTAAATTTAAAAGTTAACAAACATTTAAGAATTTGTTTTAATTACAGTATTTATTTTATAATGACCAGTTTTATAAGTATTACATATAATTATTTTAGTACCAGTACAGTTTGAAAGCTATCTGTATCATTTTTAACAATATTCTTATTATTTATTACAATTTGTGAATAATTCAATCTGTTAGTTTAAAGTTAGTCTAGCTATCTATTTGATACATAAGTTCAATTATAATTATTCATTTGATGCTAACTAATTGAATGACTTTTACTTTATGCTTTTGCCAATTTTTATATTAAATGTATGTAATGTGTAAGTCACAATCATTTATATTAATACAAAAATCATTTAATTAAAAATTGCATACAATTAGTTAAGAATCTACATTAAATATTAAGAATTTTATTTTAGAGGAGCTTTAATATTCAAGGATTTATGGAAGTTTAATCATGTTATAACTTTTTATGTGAGATTCTATAATTGATAAAATTACAGAATCTGTAATACAAATATAGTTCAACAGGTAATAATTATTACTAAATTTTCTGGGACTAAACATTCTTAAACTTATTTCCAACCTATGTTACAAAAAATTTATTTATTTATTTACACCTCTAATGTAATGGATACAGTTTCATAAATGTTGGACTATATTCTATATTCTAGATGTTAATAGAGTTAATATTGTTTGTTTTGTGAAAGCCTGGTCATTTGGTACGATAGTGTCATCAGTCCTGATGGTGACCTTAAGTGGCAAAATGAACTCAATTCATACAATAAATGCTTTTTTGATGTGTGCGATGGCATCTTCTTGAACTACACTTGGAATGAGACAAATCTGAAGACATCCTACGATATATCGTGCCATACATTCCGCAACTTCGATGTATTCGTTGGGATTGATGTTTTTGGTCGCAATTGTTTCGGTGGCGGAGGTCTGAACACCAATTTGGCGGTCAAGGAAGTTGCCAAACACGACCTTTCATTAGCTATATTTGCGAGCGCCTGGACACACGAAGTACTGGGCGCCACCGACTTCACTGCTAATGAATATCTATTTTGGTCTTTATTAGACTTAGGAGTTCATCACTTCCCCCAAACTCTGCCTCTCTGTACCTCTTTCTGTCAGGTCTTCCGCATAATGACAGCACTTATATTACACTACAATAACCTTAAACTTTATACTTTAGGGCTTTGGACTCAAACAGTATAAAAGAGGTCAAATATATAGCCAATACAAATGGCATAACCTGAGTATACAGGTAAATTACCTTACATTAGCAATGACATTTACATGATATTGCAATGATCTGAATACAATACCGTATACTTGATATGTAAATGTATGTGTATTTAGGAATTGCAACCAACAAACCACACATCCGTTGAGATCTGCACCGACGAGGCCTTCAACGGCGGCGGTTGTCTTCGACTCAAACAACAATCGGCTCCTCTATTTGAATGCGAGATAACTGTCAAGAAGTGCTTTTATGGCATTACTTACAAATCCAAACACAATCACAAGTTGTCAACACTTTTCAATTATCAAACAAATAGTCAAAACGAAAACAAAACATTGATTTTATTGGATAACGATTTAGAAAATAAAGATTTTCTCATTCAATACATTGAGTAAGTGTTGAGATAACTATAATACGGATATGATATACAGTAATAATTAATTGCAAATAAATTAAGTGATAAAAAGCAAAGTAAAGAGGAGTTGGAGAAATTCAAAAAGTTTGGAATATTCGAGACCAGCAATGGTTGGCTCACTCAGGCCTTTATCATAGAGAGTTTGAGACCAGATTCGGTCATAACATTGACAGGCATTCAACTCAATGTTTGCCATCAAATTAAAGACACCGTCCCTGATGTGCTAATCGGACAATTGGTTCGTTTCAATTAAAATCATTATTTATTAATTATTATATAACTTATATACTCTATATAAACAGATATTGGACACCATCTGAAGCTATGGAATGCCTTATGTGTTATTAATCTAATAATCAAATAAAACAAATTGAGATTTGAATTGAATAATCAGTTGTGAAGAATCATTTCGTAGACTTGATATATAGCGGGCGCCACATCCATGGCCCGTGACTTAAGCGATAGGGTGAACTTGGGGTTCCCCGGCTGTACCTTAAGCTCCGCCAAAAGCCAGATATTATTTGTCAATTTGAGGGACTGGTAGAGCATGTCCTGTCCCTCAACATTACGCTTTGCAATCGTAAAGATGTTGTTTGATTGAAGTTTTTGTGAGACCTGATCCACATTGAGGTTAACGTTGTCGATGACATACTGGACCTCATTTTGTGAGGGGATGTCCTTCCAAGTGGCCAAAAACACTCTCTTATCCATAGCTCCATCGTCTCCACAAAACACATGCGTCGGAACAATGCAACTGAAGTAGAAGACATCGACGTTGTTCTTAATGGCCACCTGAAGACTAGTCAACGGTTCCATCTTCTGAACGGCTCCCATAGTATTCAACTGAAGGCTCACATCCGATGAGATATTTGGATGCAAAGGAGTGGGCACTTGGAGGGGCTGTGCCGGCGCTAAACCAAAACTATTTTTGTTGAATTGTATGGCAAATCCTCCCATTGCTTGCATCGCTTTGTTACTGAAAGTCATTTCCATACATATCTGTCCATTACGTCGAGTGAAAGTTCCCGTTATTTCCAGTCCTTTGCCCCGAACTGCTGGAAGCCATACTTGTTTAGGAGGCGTATAGAAGGCCCCAGAAGTGGGTATTCCAAAAATATCTCCGAGCAGTCCAGTGGACGATATTTGAGATGTAGAAGTGGATGTAGTTTGCGGTACACTTGTACTCAAATCAGGTCCTCCGAGTAAACTATCGAGACCTCCGCCCAGAATATCGATATTAGAGTTGGAGAGCGGGGCTGCAGTATATGTAGTGGGAGGGGGCGGGCCACTGATGTCTAGACTTAATAGATCACCGATCAGACTATCAGCAGCTGGAATAACAGTGGACTGAACTGTTTCAGTGTGATTGGTCTCTTCAGAACCAGTCCTAGCGGGCAGTGATCGCCTCAATTGACCGGTTCTGCCCTCAACGAAGGCTGAGGGGGGCTTGTGGTAGACGGACGCCAGACTCCCGATATGGCAAATGAGTTCATCCAAGAGTGTCGGTTCTAACAGATCTGTCTCCTCAGATATCAATGGCTTCTCAGCTAAAACTACTTCTTTAGCGGCCGCGGGATCTGTGGATAAGAGTCGCCAATAAATGAATCCTCGGTCGCGAAGGTCAGGATTATCGCTGTCCTGTGTGGCCAAACTGAGCACTTGTTGGACCAGTTCTTGTGTCTCTGTCGGACGCTTTAGGAAGAGTTTGACGATAGCAGTGAGCAGTTGGAGCTGAACCTGACTGTTCTCGTCGTGAAAGCCTTCGAGAAAGCTTTCGAGCAATTCGTCCGCATTGTCGATGCGTTCGGCGTATTCGCCAATAATCCATATCATCGAAGCTCTGGCCTCCGGTTCGTCCAAAGTGTCCAAATTCTCGCAAAGAGTCGATATAATGCTCTCGTATTTGTTGGGATATTTGCGGAAAATGTCTTTAATCACCACAATTGCCTCCTGAACCACATAATTCACTTTTGTTTGAATCAGATCCAGAAGAGTAGCCACACATCGCTCAGCCGATTGTTCCACTTTAATAGCGCACCGACCGATCGCACGGACAGCCTTTCGTACAAAATCCACGTCCACTTCAGTGGCGTATTCTTTAAGTTCAGCCAATACTTGGGCGATGTTTGCCTGAGAGGCCAGTCGTATCATGATATCCAACTTTTCGAGCTTTACATAAATGGGATCATTATATTTGACAAAAAACACTTTCATTTCGTGTTTCAATATATCGGGCCGTTTCTGAACGATTAGATTAATATTACGTAACGCCACGTATTGTACTTCCGGTTCACTTGACAGCAGTGTCACCAAAGGAGGCGCCAATTTCTTGGTTAAAGTCACCACAAAGTCCGAGTCCGAAGACATCATTTCCATGAATTTCATGAGCGCTTTGACAGCACTCAAGACGACGGCTGCGTTCGCGTGCGCCAGACGTGGGGTCACTCTCTCGCATATACTCTGTGCCTCGCGATCGTCCTTTGGGGTATAGCTGGACAGGGAGTCCAATATGAATACTTGTCCCCATTCGGTGCATTCATTCAAAGCCGTCAGTAACTTATTAATGGTCTGAGCATTGAGTTCAACCAATGGATGTCCAGTACTCGAGGCCTCATTGATCTCGGAGAGAGCGGCCACAGCATTGGCCACAACCATAGGGTTCGAGTCGGACAACAAGTCGCGCAACAAATCCAGAAATCCCTGCTCTTCGACGAGCTGTGCGTTAATGTCATGTAGTTTAGCGACACAAACGGCAGCCGTCTTCCGGACATACGGGTCCTCATCCCTCAGACATTTGCGAAGCGGTTCACAGAGATATTCAGTGATCTTATCGACACGAATACAGCCCATCGTTCGGACAGCCAGTGCTCTGATGAGAGGGTTGGGGTCTTCGCAGTCGCGGACAAATGTGTTGACAGCCATTATGGCCATATCGGGCTGACTCTTGGCGTAGTTCATCAAATAGAGATACACCAACTTCTTGAGCTCCAGATTGTCGGTCTGCATGCAGTTCACCACATCCGGGAACAGTGCCGACACATCCTTGCCTACAGTCATCGATGCGATCACTTTCTTCACGGCTTCCCTGCGCTTCTCCTTCTTGTCTGAATTGAGTTCACTCTTGAGTTCAAAGATTTCACCCTTTTTNATTGTCGGTCTGCATGCAGTTCACCACATCCGGGAACAGTGCCGACACATCCTTGCCTACAGTCATCGATGCGATCACTTTCTTCACGGCTTCCCTGCGCTTCTCCTTCTTGTCTGAATTGAGTTCACTCTTGAGTTCAAAGATTTCACCCTTTTTTGTGTTCGCGAAGTACTTGGCGTCAGTCATCTTCACCACTGCAATACACATACACTTACTCTCACTTCTCAATCATATGGTGTCTATACCTGTGTGTCAATCGATTAGATTGTCTCCAATTAGCGGTATATCAGGTCTAACGAAGAGTGGATCCAATGCAGTGACTGTCAGTTTGTCTGTGTGTCTGTCTGTCTGGTGATCAGTGAATGGCTGTAAGAGCAGTCCTGAGCTAGAAGTGTTCACTTTTCCCATTAACAAACAATGTTACTCTTTTTAGTCATTTATAGGCTAAACTTTTGTCATTTAGCCTGTAGTAAACCATATTTTTAATAACATACACTTTTTAACCGGGAACAGTGCCGACACATCCTTGCCTACAGTCATCGATGCGATCACTTTCTTCACGGCTTCCCTGCGCTTCTCCTTCTTGTCTGAATTGAGTTCACTCTTGAGTTCAAAGATTTCACCCTTTTTGGTGTTCGCGAAGTACTTGGCGTCAGTCATCTTCACCACTGCAATACACATACACTTACTCTCACTTCGAAATCATATGGTGTCTATACCTGTGTGTCAATCGATTAGATTGTCTCCAATTAGCGGTATATCAGGTCTAACGAAGAGTGGATCCAATGCAGTGACTGTCAGTCTGTCTGTGTGTCTGTCTGTCTGGTGATCAGTGAATGGCTGTAAGAGTGAGTGCAGTGCACAGCAAACGCCCTATACTTGCCTTCACAGCACACGAGAGACATCTGACGACTGCTTTCAATGCAAATGTTTTCAAACCAATTCATACCTCTCTTCAAGACCTGATCCCACGATGGCATCGATTGTGTCCACAGTTTGTAGGTTTAGATGTTTGAATCGATTGAATGCAAGCCTTGTATTGAAACAAATGGATAACTCAGTGAAACATCGGTTAGTTTTGTTGATTCACTCATTGATTGCTAAATGAATGGCAAATAATGAATGGAAATGTGTTTGCAATCAATAATACAAACTTTGTATACATTTTGTTGACAAATGCTATGCATTGGCGGCTATGAAGTGAACACAAATTATCGGCATTGATTGCATCATTCAATGAATGAATTGATTGAATACTAATTGCTTTGATTTGAACCACAATTTAGATCATTATTTGGAGTGAAGTCATCGTCAAGTGATTCCCAAACACAACAAGACATGAACGCAAGTGAGACCAACGGCCAGAACAGTGCCAATGAAGACAACGAGTTGTCGAGAATGAGAGACGAGAACAAGAAGTTAATTGATTTGGTGGCAGAAATCGATGACAAATACAAGAGATCTTTAGCGGACGCCGAGAACACTCGGATCCGTATGAGGAAGCAAGTGGACGACGCCAAGGTGTACGGCATTCAGTCCTTCTGCAAGGATTTGCTGGAAGTGGCCGATGTGTTGCATACGGCCGTCGACTCTGTCCCTCAAGAAGCCATTCGTGGAGACAATAAAGTCCTTAAATCTCTATATTCTGGTCTTGAAATGACTGAAAAGCAGTTGCAGACAGTGTTCAGACGACACGGACTCATTCAGATGAATCCAATCGGCGAAAAGTTTGACCCCAACTCACATCACGCTCTCTTCGAAGCCCTGGTGCCCGACAAAGAGCCGGGAAGTGTTGCCACAGTCACCAAAGTTGGCTATAAATTACACGACAGAACCATTAGACCCGCAATGGTTGGTGTGGTTAAGGCTAACCCGTAAACACACTGTCATTATATTAATTTCTATTCAAATAAATTCATTATTTTAGACAAATGTTTGTAATTGAATAAAATGTTTAATGTTTACAATTGAAATGGTTTACAGAAATACTACATATATTAGCGAACAATTGACTGTAATATTGAACTCATTGTATGGAATAAGTGGTAAATGAATCTATTACAGAATATTGTCAGTATCACTTGGAATCATATAATTGATGTGACAATTTTTGCTTCAAGTCGTGGTTTTCTTTCAAACAAATGGTTATCTTATTTTGACATTCTTTGAGTTCCTCTTTGAGTGACTGAAACAACAAATTATTTTAGTTATCATTTTAAATCAGTTCATTAAGACTACATTCATTCGTGCAAATCACTCACTGGTCAATGCATTCTTATAGTAAACGAGAACCTAAGCTAAATTGTACATGTTCAATCTGTAAAAAAGTATTTCCAGTTTGCAGTCCCTTTTGACCCCTCATTCAAACTTCAGTGCATTACACTACATATCACAATTGCACCTCGGTACAGTCAAGTTTAGCAATTACAAAATTTGCATAAATAATATAATTATATTCATTGAATAATTTAATATTGATAATACATACATTTAACTGATTAGTCTTAATATTAAGTTTATGTCTGGTATCTGTCAATAGTTGTGCCAATTGTTTGGTTTGTTTTAATCACTGTCATTATATTAATTTCTATTCAAATAAATTCATTATTTTAGACAAATGTTTGTAATTGAATAAAATGTTTAATGTTTACAATTGAAATGGTTTACAGAAATACTACATATATTAGCGAACAATTTACTGTAATACTGAACTCATCTATTACAGAATATTGTCAGTATCACTTGGAATCATATAATTTATGTGACCATTTTTGCTTCAAGTCTTGGTTTTCTTTCAAACAAATGGTTATCTTATTTTGACATTCTTTGAGTTCCTCTTTGAGTGACTGAAACAACAAATTATTTTAGTTATCATTTTAAATCAGTTCATTAAGACTACATTCATTCGTGCAAATCACTCTAAATTGTACATGTTCAATCTGTAAAAAAGTATTGCAGTTTGCAGTCCCTTTTGACCCCTCATTCAAACTTCAGTGCATTACACTACATATCACAATTGCACCTCGGTACAGTAAAGTTTAGCAATTACAAAATTTGCTATTATATTAATATAAGTAACTTATTAAATTATAACTATTATGTATGTAAATTGACTAATCAGAATTATAATTCAAATACAGACCATAGACAGTTATCAACACGGTTAACAAACCAAACAAAATTAGTATCCAACTGTTGAATCAGTTGTTGATTTTGTTTTTCATATTCTTCGAGAACAATCTGTTTTTGTGCCAATTCTTTGCATTTCGACAAAATCAGTTTCTGAAGGACTACAGTCTTACTACTCATATAACTGGTGTTAAGGGCTTTGGTTGGAGTGCCACTCATTTTAGTATCCATTTTAGTATCCATTTTAGTATCCATTTTAGTATCCATTTTAGTATCCATTTTAGTATCCATTTTAGTATCCATTTTAGTATCCATTTGATTCATATTCTTCACTTTAGGTTCATGTTTATCATTAATCTTATGACTAGACTTTCTTCCCACTGAGAACCTGTCCATTGGAGTCATATTTTTATCACATTTTCTCTTTTCATTTGCAATTCTTGACAATAAGTTCACTTTGAGTTTAAGTTCATTCTTCACATCATTCAACTGTTTTTCACTACTTTTCATGTGATTCTCTGCCAAATCTCGTTTGAACGACAAATCAATTAAATGTCTTTTCATTTGAATCTTATCTTTATTCAGAACTGAAATCTCGTTTTTAAGTCTTTTAATTTCATTGCAATTATTTTTATCTTTTTGCTCCAATATTAGGATCTGATTGTGAGTTGACTATTGATTATAAAAACTAAATTTATGTTAAATTTATTACATTTAGTATTACTACATTTTAAAATTATTTTCAAATTGTATCACTACACTTTACAGTAAGTATTTTATAAGCATTTTTTAAATTTTAGAACTTCCAAAAATATTCATTTATGGAAATAAATTGTTAGAAAAAGATAAATTGTTGTAAATGTTTGTTACTGTATGTATTTCAAGTAGAATTTTAGTTGTACTTATATTTCCTAATATCATAAAAATAAGATATATTCAGTTTTCACTAAAAGTTATAAGTTTACTTTTACCAATGTACTGTATTCAGATTATCTGAATCAGATATATAAAAACATTTCAGTATTCTCATACCAATAATTTAATATTGTGTAGTATATTTGAGTGTATAATTTTGAATTCAAAATAGTAAGATATAAGATTATTAATGAAATTTAATGAAAAGTTACCTGAAGTTGAGTTTTAAGTATTTTAGTTTCATTTAAATCTGGAGTTAAAGACAAAGCATCCAATAACTCTTGGATACGGTTTTCATCCAATTTAGACATTTGAACTCTTTTGCAAATTAAACAATTCTTTATGTGACTCAAAAGGTATCTCAAAATACAGTAC